CGTCTCCGTCCAGCGGCCCCTTCCAGCCTGCAGGTGAGGGGTGCAGGATAACCCCAGGGGAGGGGAGAGGGGGGTGATGCTTCACTCCCCAGCCCTGTGGCTGTGCAGAGAGCCTCCCACCAGCTGGCCTGGCAAAGCTTTGCTGGTGGGTGTCTCTTTAGCCCCTTGGAGGGAAGGGGAGAAGTCTTATGGGTGCTACCTCCAGGAGGGGAGAATGGGGGTGATGCTTCACTCCCCGGCCCTGTGGCTGTGCAGAGAGCCCCCCGCCAGCTAGCCTGGCAAAGCTTTGCTGGTGAGTGTCTCTTTAGCCCCTTGGGGGGAAGGGGAGAAGTCTTATGGGTGCAACCTCCATGCAGAGAGGGGAGGAGTGACCCAGAGGAGGGTGACAGCCCCTCTCCTCTGCAGGCCGGCTGCATGGGGGTGATGCTTCACTCCCCGGCCCTGTGGCTGTGCAGAGAGCCCCCCGCCAGCTAGCCTGGCAAAGCTTTGCTGGTGAGTGTCTCTTTAGCCCCTTGGGGGGAAGGGGAGAAGTCTTATGGGTGCAACCTCCATGCAGAGAGGGGAGGAGTGACCCAGAGGAGGGTGACAGCCCCTCTCCTCTGCAGGCCGGCTGCTCTGCGAGGAGAAGCAGGTCCAGAGGTCTGGGTGGAGGGAGGAGGGACGGGACACTGCGTGCAGGCATCGTGGGCAGCACCTGCCCCCTCCTCTGTCAGTGGGACTGTCTGCAGCAGGGGTTTAAGGGGTGCTAGTGGAGAGACCTGAGCCCAAACCTGCTAGCCAGGCTCCCCAGAGCTTGCAGGGCTCCCGCCTGCTCTGCCCTCCTCAGCTCTTCCTCCAGCTGTTGGGGTGACTGATGTGTTTCATCTCCTGGGACCCTGGCTGGGGCTGGGGGACAGTGATGCTGCAGGGCCTGGGGAGCAGAGCTGGGTGTATTCAGGGGGGTGAAGCTGCTGGTGTGCACCCCTCGTGTTTGCCAGAGGGCTGGGAGGTGATGGGGGTGGCCTCCAGCTCGGTTCCTAGCCTGTGCCACGGGGGACCTGTGTTGTGACCCTGCTCCTCTTGCCTCACGGGCTGGGCCACGTCCACCACGAGCCTTCCTACGTCTGCTTCCCCTCTGCTTCCTCAGGCACCTCCTGCAGCAGCTTGCAGTGCTCCCAGGACTTCGTGACCTTCCCCAAGCTCGAGCAGGACGACGAGAAGTATCGGAAACCTGTCTCAGCCTCTTCTTCCTCCCACTGCTCCCCGCTGTACGAAGGCCAGAAGGGGGACATCTTTGAGCAGAAGGTGATCTTCTCAGGCTTTGGGTCCATCATGCGCTTCTCCACCTCAGCGGTGAGCCAGCAGAGGGGCCGTGATGCTTCCCCCGTGGACTATAAAGCCTCAAATCCTGTCAGCAGCCCTTTGGTGGGCACCAGCGGGACCGGTGGCCCCGGCAGCAGCCACCAGCGCATGCCCTCCCTCAGCATGGAGGAGGGAGAGGTGCTGAAGGAGAAGAAGCACAAAGGGAGCAAGAAGAACAAGCACGGGCCCGGCAGGCCGAAAGGAGGCAAAAGCAAAGAGATTTTGGGTGCCCAGCTGGCTGGCTCCACGTCCACGTCCTCCTCCCCCTTCTCCGGGGGCTCTCTGGTTAGCTCCAGCGTGGGGAGCTCCTCCCGACCCTTCAGCCACACGGGGACCCTGCCCAGCCTCAGCCTGGAGTCCCCGCTGCTGGGCTCAGGTACGTGCCCCTCGGGGCTCCAGGTGTGCTCCCTTCCCCCCAGCTCTGCTCTTTGGCTGCTGCCTGGACCTGTCTGCACAAGGTCCAGTCCCTTCAGCTCAGCCCCAGGAGCTGGAAAACCCCCACGTCTGGGTCTCCCCTTTCCTTCTTGGCCTTCAGCCTAGAACCTCCTCTGAGCTGGGGGGTATTTCAAACTGTTTTTTTGCTCCAGCTCTGGAAAACCTGAGCGTGTTGGAGCTTAATTTCCACAGAGGAGCATTCAGAGGCCAAACCAGAACCACCACAGTCTGACCCCAAATGAAGGGCTCTGTTGAAGTGGTTCGAGTTTAACCTCTCTTTTAGAAGCAGGACCTCTCATCTTGGTCTTACCACATCCACACAGGGCTGGGTGACTGGCACACCGTTAACCCTGCCAGGGGCTTCCAGCTGCTCCCAGCCTGGCAGGGGTGAGGGTGGGCAGGACGTGGGGCAGGAAGGGGTTAAGGCAGCAGGCAGAGGAGGAGCCTGCTGCTCAGGGCTGAGGTTTGACACTGTTCTGGCAGCAGAACTTGTCATCGGTCTATTGTGGGTTGTTTGCAGATGCTCCAATTTAGGTCAGATTGCAAAGGGGAGGGGGGGGAGATGATTTCGTGGTGTGCTGTGCGCCAGGGAGCCCTGGCCCCTTCCTCTGCCCTGCCCCAGAGAGGAGAGAGCTGCAACAATTGGTGCCACCTCCAGAATCGTCACCCCAGGGCAATTTTTTCTTTGGCCTCCCCTCCACCAGAACAACAAAGGGATGTTTCAAAGAGGAGGAGGCTGCCAGGGCCCGCTGCTCCTTCCCTCATTCTTCTCTTGCGGAGGGATGTTGGCAGAGCTCCGGGGGAGCTGGCTTTGGGCACTGCCTCTGCCCGTGCCTGAGCCAAGGGGACTCACATGGGTGCCCTCCCTCTGCAGCAGCTCTCTCCTCACCCTTTCGGCCTCGTTTTATCTGTCCATGCCCCACCGTGGGCATCGCCGTGGTCCCTGGGCATTGCCATGGCCCCTGGGCATCACCCTAGTCCCTGGGCATCACCGAAGGGGCCAGGTTAGCTCAGCAAGAGTGTGGTCTCTTGACTAGCACAGGCAGGGAGCAGAGACTCTCCGAGTCCACGTCCCCCTTTGGCCACTTTGTGCCTCGGGTGAGTCACTTTGTGCCCTGATTTCTCTGCCAGCTTGTATCGGGGTGCCAGGAGCAAACAGGAGGGGGGCAGTGGCAAGGCTGGGAGAGTTTGTGACCCCTTTTGAGGGAAGGACTATGAGCTGTGACCACCCTCACTGCCTGCCAGGCCACGAGATGCTCAAAGGGCATCTCACACTTGGTCTAGTGGGTCGGTGCCAGGTTCCCTGTCTGAGAGGGAGCCCTGCAGGGAGCCAGCAGCTCCCGGGCTGTGGGGAGGGGACTGGGGCTTCTCTGACACGTCTCCTCCCCTCGCAGGGATCTACACCAGTAACAAGGACCCGATTTCCCACGGGGGCGGGGTGCTCCGAGCTGTCTGCAGCACACCCCTCTCCTCCAGCCTCCTGGCACACCAGGGGACGTCGTCTCTCCCACAGCTCAACCGCTCGCCCTTTGCAAGCACCATCCCCGCCTCCTCCTCCTCCTCGGTCTCCACCACGCAGGTAAGAAGGTCAGGCCCAGGGGAAGGGCTGTGGCTCAGGAGGGAGCTGCACAGAGCAGTGGCCACCACAGCAGGGCCAGTTTGGGGGCTCGGAGGAGTTGCTTTTTCCAGCTGGGAGCAGCAACTCTCCCTTCAGTTTGGAGGGGAGCTGGCGACTGCAACTTCCCTAAGAGCTGGTGGAAAAATCCTTGGTGGTTTTGCATCACAGCCCACGCAGCCTGTTTTGGGGTGGGGGGATGGCAGCCTAAAAGGACACCTTGTTGTCCAGTGACATTAGAGAGTGCTCAGGCTTGGCTGGCAGCGTGGGCTGTGCCCTGTGCTGCCCGTCCCCTGCTGTCCCCAGTGCCAGCCCTGCCTGCACGGAGCAGCACCCCGGGCAGGGGGCTGTGCCTGGGGCAGGAGATGGAGCCTTGGCCCCTGTCAGGAGCTCGCTGGGAGACGTGTTGTACAGGGAGGAGAGAGCTGGTTTTACAGCCTCGGTGTGAACAGGGCTCACTCGGAGCTCTTGGCTCTGAGATGGGGCTGGGAAGATTTCAACTGTCTAGCGAGGCTTCCAAGGAGATATTTTTAACACTCCCTCTCACGAGCGAGCTGGGTTCAGGAGTCAGGGGGAGCTGGAGTAATGAAGTTCTTTTCCTCTGGTGTTTTTGAGCAGCCATTTCTCTCTCTCTCTCTCTCTCCCCCTCCTTGTTTTGCCGTGTAGGTGTTCTCACTGGCAGGTTCAACATTCAGCCTCCCTTCCTCACATATTTTTGGAAGCCCCCTCACATCTGGGCTATCCATCAACCCGCTCTTAAATCAGTCGGAGAGCAGCCGGGCAGGTACGTGAACCAGCAGGTATGTGAGCTTGGACTTCCCAAGGGCTCTCCCTGGAAGAGTGGAGAACTGCAGCCGTGGCTCTCCAGCTGCCCTCCCCGCTTGCCCCCATCCCCTAGCCCTGGGCTAGGAGAGCAGGACCCCCAGCACGGGGGGGGG